CAGTTGCACTCAATGGTCAATTTTTTTTAACCTAAACATATATATTACAATAATGTTTCTTTATTTATGTTTTTTATTAACAAAGAAGTTGGTAATTTATAATAAAAAACATGTAAAATTTCTAAAAAAAAAAAACTTGTTATTTTCATCATTTTCATAAAATTTCGTAAATTTTGTCGTTTTTTTATTTTTGTACAAGTTGCTTTCATGACAAATTAAAATTTAAATATTGAATAAACATTTTTATATGCAACAAACAAATAAATACATTTTGTCTGGCTAATATTTCATGTTATTATTTAAAAATATCATTTTATGAAGAAAAATAGTTTTCAATTATAAAAATGTATGAAAATATTGAATGCATGAAACTGCATTTGCAGATAGTTCTCTTTATTATTGATTGTCTCATTAAAAAATTTAAATCCGTTATCATTGTGTCTTCTACTCTATAAATAAAATAAAAAATGGAAAATGCGATTCGACCTTTATTTCTACACAAATTAAGTGTTCTTTGCAAATTCAATAATCAACCTTTTCTAAGGCCCCATTGTTTCTTTGACAAGACGAAAATAATTAAAACTTCAAATGCCATCTGGCAGATTAAGAATTATTTAGTTATATTTAATGCAAGCTTAAAATATTTTGCCACGTGCCCCACACGAAAATGTCTCGGGGCATTCATATTCTTTTTGAGTTGTGCTGCACATCAACGACAGTGAATTTATATTTCTGCTGATATTGGCATTCGCTCTGATCCGCGACGCGTGCCGCATCACCCCCTTTGGAGTTCGCGCCCACCACCCACCCGCGCCGCATAATGGACCTGAAGCCAAACTAATCCCGTTGGCTATACCAAGAGAATAAATCCGTATCGCCGGTGGGTGGCTGCATGAGAATAGGGTGGAGCTTTTTTTCATTAGGAGCCATCAAAAACACTAGCCCACCATGAAGACTGTAGATGACAGCTAAAATATCTAGTTTTAAAAATTTTCATCAAATATACTTTTAAAGTGCAATTTTGTATTTTCTAAAGTAAAAACATTATTGAAATTTAAAAAAACTTATTTTATGCTTTACGCACCAAATTTTAAAATTAAATTTATATCATTTGTTTGTTAAACTATAACAAAATAATACTTAATATATTATTATTTTTAGTTATATTGTGCACTATGTTAAATAAGCCTTTTTAATTAATTTTTTTTAAATATACTTTTTACGTGCTTTTGATTGTTACAATTTCTAAACAATAGTTGTTTCAAAACTAAAATATTATTTAAAAAAAAATATTTATTACAAGTAAAATTTAAACAAAGTATATTAAACCAATAGGTATAATGAGATATTATAGGGAAAAAAATTCAATTTCTACGTAGCCAAGTTGATGCTTATGTATTTGTTTGATTTGAAATAACTATGTATCTATCTTGAAACTTGGGAAAGTTTTGCTTTTTGAGAATGTAAATCAAATTAGAAAATCTATTCTGAAATTTTTTACATTACTTTTTTGAGGAATGCCATATGCTGATTTTTTTTCTCCAAAAGAAGTAATGTCTGCGGCAAAAGAGAAAAAGGTCTTCTTTTTCTTGAAACCTTCTCGCATGACAAAAAAAACTACAAACCTAATAATTCTAATAAAATATGCGTGCAGTTAAACACGCGGTATTTTATATTGTAACGAATCTGACTCTCCCGGCAAGATATAATTTCCCTCGGCTCTCCGGCCACAAAAAAGGGCGCACAATTTTTTTTCAGCAGTGAATTCGTATCTTTTATATATAAAAGAGAGCAGGTGCGCACAGCAATTATCAACAATAAATTTCCACAAAAAGTCCCAACACACTCGCGGCGGCCACAAAAACGCCCCATATAAAATTCTAGCCGCGGAACATTGCTCGCAGCTCTCTGCTTTTTCACGAACGCGACACATATACATACTCCATGTACAGAGAGAAAGATGTTTTATTATTTTATACCTTATAATGTCATTTAATACGCAATGTAATATCAAGTGTTCTGCTCGTCTTGTCTCTCTCTCCCTCCCCGAGAGAGTTGCGCGTGTTGCAGAAAGAGCAGATATAAGAATTTGTATGAGAACGGGTGTCGTCGCTGCTTTTATTGCTGCGTGTGGTGCTGCAGTACAAGTCTTGAATGAGACCCAACGATGACTTGGGGCTGCTGCATTTTTTCGTTGAGAAAAGAAGTGCATGCATGACAATAAATATTGCTTTGCATGATATGATTTGAAGTGGCAGTATAAGGTCGTAACAGTGAAAATCACTCAATGCGCTGACCTTAATTTTACTATATAATATCAGCTGAACTGAAGAATATCAATTCAAATATTGGGTATTTTATTTTACATTAAATTTTTTTAACTGAAAAAAGAAATAGCATTTCTGAACTAGAAAGTTTCAGTTAAATTTGCATGTTTAGGAGAAAGAAGGAAACCTTTTACTTTTTGTAATACTCAAATTTTAACACAAAATAATTCATACCATTAACAATTTTTTTTTTATTGATGATACATATGCGAAGAAAACTCATAATCTCAATACGTCTTTTTTTAAGACTTGATCTGTAATAATTAACAGTTTGGAGACATTTATTTTATTTTATTGTCACAAACATGTGTTTGCGGTAATTTTCATCATCCTATTAAATCTTCTTTCTTTCAAAAGAGGTATTTGACACCCTAAAATAATTTTTAAAAAAAATAAATAAAATAAGAGCTTATTTAAAAATGAAATATATTTAAATAAAAAAATAGTATATTTAGCTAAAAACAATACGTTTAAATTTTTCTTTTTTTTCTTACTACAGCCAAAGAAAAATTAAAAATTAAGTTTCAAATGCTAAACGCGTGTTTGCCAAAAGCAGAGACCGCAGGTGTTCGGCCGCGAGCGTGCAGCGAGATAATATATAGAAGTGGTTTTTGCCTCGGCCCAATTTGTGCTTGTCACCGGCGCGGCGGCAAATGTGCAGCAATTGCGAGGCGCCGCGAAAAGAAAAGGATCGTTCGCATTGTTGGCCGCGTGTATTTAAATCGAGCCAAAAGGCACGCTGATGAGTCTCGTGATGAGGTATGCTAATTGAGTGCCACCGCGCTTGTGTGCACCGCGATATGTTGGGCTGCCCGCTGGCTCTGGTCGCTCTTTCATCTGCGCGCGATTCACCAAATGCCCACACGGCAGGTGCATACCGCGATCGCTCTGATTTTTGTCTGTGTCCTTTATTCGCACGCATCGTCCATTTGAATTTGTAATTCACTCTCAGGCGCCTGCTTCTGGCGGTTTCCGCGGCGTATATTCAAATAACAATAATATTTCGGGCACATTGAAATTAATTACCCATTCATGAGTTGCAAATTTCAATAATGGAAAGTGTACGGTAGGTTACGAAAATTATAATCGAAACAAATAAACCTCCAAAAAACTTCATTGAGTATTTCAAGGCTTTTAAACCAAGTTATTATCATTGATAAATTATAAAGTAAATTATATTTTATTTAATTCCGCCAAAGGTTTCTGTTATGAAAACATTTTTCATTTTGAGTTAAGTATTTAAAAAAAATCAAAAGCATCGTCATTTTGTTATTAATTACATCTTTTTCTATACGTTTTTTTTTCTAATTAAATGTTGGTTTTTCTTATTTTTCTTTTCAAAGTTAATGTGGGCATGATTTAAGTTACACCTGGGTTGAAATTATTGATTTAATAAACATTCTGAAAACATCTAACTGCTAAGAAATTTTGTAAAATCCGTGGCAACATAATATTTACGGGAAATAACTTTGTTGAATATTTAATTCCTCAATAATCTTCTTAATTCCACGCAATATCAATATTTTAATTTTTATAATAACATCAAAATCCAAATACAGAACAATGTATCTTCTGACTCATATATCCTAATTAAGGCATGTTGAATACATTATGATTGTACAGTTCTAATTATTAAATCAAAATTTATTTTATTCTGATTTATGTAAATAAAAAAAAAAAACAATAGTTAAAGCGCATTAAATAAAAGTAATACCTATTTTAATTTGTTATATTAATTTAATTAAATATTTGTAAAATGCAATACTTTCTATTAATTCTGTGATGTATTAAAAAATAAAAAATAATATTATTTAAGGGTTAAATCTCAATTTCATTTAAAATTGTCTGGAATATTATTTATATTTTGATAATCTTCAAACGCACTAATTTAGCTAAAAACGTCTGTAAAATGAACAACGTTTGCAGCATGAGCATTAGATTTTTTTTCAAATTGAAGAAATTTTTGTAAACACGAAAATTATATTTATTTATTTAAGTTTTGGAATTTCACTTATTATTCTGCCATGACTTGAGTGTATGATATTGGAACAACAACATCAATAATGAATGATAATTAAATATTATAATGTATAGCTTTAAAATAATTTGAAGCTGATCAACATAAATTGACAATGAGTTATAATAAAAAACTTGAAAAAATTCTAATGATTTTTATCCTCCAAAATTGAGTCACTTTAAATCAGCAATAAGAAACCCACTTTCTCACTTAATAAAACGTGTACTTATTACTAAGGCGCGAGATGAGCGAAGAGTCGTTCCCATGCACAGAAGATAGGCTCATATAGGCAGACGAGACCTTTTTCGTCTCTTTATATTTCTTTCTTTCTCTCCTTACATGAGCACACCATAATAAGATATCCACACAATAACAAAGTAGAGAGAAACATGACTCATTGAGAGGAGGCGCCATCAATGGTCTTGTGCATTGGAAGGAACATTAGACGACGCGAGATTCGGCTTCCCATGGCGGAAAAATTCGCTGGGAAATTTCCCACAAGAGGGTCGAGGAGCAAAACTGCATTTCTTCGCAACGATCTGGCTCTGGCTCGCGGGGGACAAAGTGATGGGAAGAGCCAGGTGGATGGGTCGGTGGGAGTGGGGCGGTCGGCGGTGGCACTGCGGCCGCCACCGCGCCGCCACTGCGGGCTGCCTGCCAGTCCCACGAGCGCTGGGGAGCCTCTCGCGATCCGATCCGTCTCCAGTCTGGCTCTGGATACAGTGAGCGAAACACCGAGTGCCGAGCTAACCCGCCGCCGCACACCGACATGTGCCTCTCGCGCCACCAGTGACATTCGCACCCCGGATTTGAATCACTACTTTGCCCAAGGTAAGAACGAGTTCGTTGTTAATTTTAGAATTATTGTAAAAAAAATTGCCCTGCTAATTTAAAATTGGCCAGATTTTAAATGTTTCCCTGACGCAGTGAAAGGGCAAAGATTACAAGTTAGTGTCATTGATCTTGATTAGATATTTTAATTTAAAAATTTCATGCTCAACTAAATTGAGGATTTAGGTAAAAAGTTTTGAAATCAAATTAATTCTTATTGTTTTGTTGCGCCAACTCACGCGTGCTCTTCAATTATGTTGCATTTTTTTTCTCAAAAACTGTTCTTAATTTAAAGCTTAAAACTATTCGATTAATTGAGAATGATTTCTTTTGATCAGAACAGCGCTGGAAGGTCTATTTGTAATAAACTTCATTGTTTTTCTTTAAGAAAGAACATTCTGCAATTTGTGAAGAAAAAGATATATGCGCATATGGAAATGAAACGGATTTAAATTTTTGTTTTTGTATGTTATGGTCAAAATAAAATAATCTATCAGCTATAAAACAAGAAATATATTCCTTGCAGAAATTACAATTTTAAAATACAGTACCTGATTAAAAATTGATGTCCTCATTGATTTGTTTCTCCATTGAATAAAAATTTGTTTTATCTCAGTTTTTTCTAAGTAAATTAAAATTGTAAGCTTTCGATTTGCTTCAAAGTTATTAAAATTATTCATAGAAAGTTTTAAACATGTTTGCATTTTTCTTAACTAAAAACACATTTTTTTTTTCATTTGTGCTCTTTTTTTCTTTAACACAGTCATTAAGATGCAACCAAAAAATATAATTATCTATTGTATAAATTAAAAGTACTCCTTCGAGGAACAATATGAAAATTAGAATAATTTAGTCATCACAGTGTTGAACAAATATAGCCTATAGTGTTAAAGAAAACTTAAAATACACAAAATTTTAAGCCCTTTTAAAGAATATAGAAGCAAAATTAATCAAAAATGGGCTCTTCGATCAGTTTCTGGAGAACTGTGTGACATGCATTTTTATCTCAAAAATATTCTGCCCTTGCGCTCTCCAACACTCAATCGCAATGGCAATCTTTCATAATCAATATAATCATTATATTGTCCATACTCTCTTTCAAAATTTCATTTCAAAAATCAGCATAGAATATCTTCGGAGCGTCTCCGATTAAAAATGATTAAAACTTTTTATGCGCATCAACGCACATTTATTTATAAATATCGCGAAGGAGCGCTCGGCGGCGGTTCCGGTTCACTGGCGCGGCGACGAGGGCCATAGGTCGCCGCTGGCTGTGGGTGGCGAACTAAGGTCAGCCGAGGCGCCCAGCCAGTACGGCACACAACGCCTCCGTGGCGCCAATTACCATAATAAATAATCGCCGCGCGCGGCCTCGAGGTTCATCAGAGCGGAGAAACTCATTAAACGAATTCACATCATGCACTCTACGATGCTTGAACTCTCATATGTACTTGTCTAGCAGTAAGTTGCACAGAGCGCTCATAATTGACAATGAGAGACAGAGAGCAAAAGTGCAGCAAACATTCGATTCGGTGACGAAATTATAAAAAAAAAGAAAAAAAAAACACCCAGAGAGATAAAATACGAGGCAAAAAACATGGATACTTTCGAAAATTTCTGGATGGACTTGAAAAAATATTTTAGTCATGGCTACTTGTGCAACAACTGAAATGAATTGATAAATATTACAATTAAAAAAAAAAAAACAATCGTGATGACTGGAAATTTAATGTGTAATGATGTAATGAGAGAATAAAATACAAAAATTTTGGTTGTTTGCATTTTGATCTCAAAGCGCACAAATTAATAGATTCTATATTATATATTTATTTAAAAACTATCCCTTTTAAATATATTGATGGACAACATTGATTTGCAATTCGTACCTTTTTAAGAGTTAAATTAAAAACAAGTGGAACTAAAATCAGTTAAAATGATTTATATACCTGCTTAATTGAATTTTACATTAATTTATTTTACAGAATTCTAAATTTCCTTTTCATTCTTTATGTAGAAATCGAGATCTTTAAAAAACGGTCCTCTTCACTTATTCTTCATTCTTTATCTTCTCTCTCCTTTTTGAGACAATTCTCTCTCCAAATTGAAACATTGTATGCCATTCACTTAGCCCCGATTTGCATATAAAACATAAATAAGACGCCGGCAGTGAGTCTAATTTGAATTGATAATTCAATCCGGCGCGCGCGATTTTGCTCTCAAAAAAGGTTCAGAGAGATCTCTCTATACACAGCGATTTCCCTCTCAAGAGTGTGAAATCACCTCTTTGATGTATGAACACACATTAGCCGGTGGAACATATTGTGTTCATCCGAGTGTGACCAAAAGCGCTGCGACCATTACTCATGCGCTTGCTCTCTCGAAAAATCATTTCATTATCGCCTGCAGTCGCCTAATCGCGTAAATAAATATCCAGTCTCTCTCGCAATCGGGTGAAAAAATCATTGGTCTCGTCGACTGACTGAGAAAGTAGTTCAAACAAAACTCAGCGAAAATTATTTATTATCTCGTGATGGACTAATGCTCGGGTCGGGGAATGTGCGTGTAATTTCGATGCAAACAAAATGCAGCTCTCGGCGAGCAATTGGATAATGAGATGATTTGTGGAGGCGGGAGAGAAAGTGTGGGAATCTCGTTTGCATAGCCGCGGTAATTAGGGGTCAGCTCTGAACAGACGTGAAATATGAAAATGGTCGCTGCGAGCACTTTTCTTATTTGGCGCCGAGATTCTTCGGACATAAATTTTCAGTAAAAGCAAAATAATGGCTTGGAAAAGAATAGGAAAAACGCGGGCAATAACTCAGGCAGGAGAGCACTACTTAAAATGACACATTTTTTTCCATGGCACCATATTTTAACAAAAGGAAATAATTTTTTTATTTTCATATTGGATTTTTTGTGCATCCGAACATAAAATTATCTCCAGCCGGGAGTCAATCGCTTTTTCCCAGAGGTTAATTAATTCTGTCCATTAAATCACGGCCGACATTGTATGTGGCGCCGTTTCGGCCATAATTTTAGTCTTTTTTTTATCCCTCTCCGACTTTTTCCTCTTTCGGAAGAGTAATTACTTATTCGGTCGGCGGCGCAAAAAATGCTCATCAATTCGCAACGGCCGCCGCGTGTTTATTTTTCCACCTGACTTGCTTATGCGCGGCGCGAGAAAATATCAATAAATCAGCGCATTTTGGGCACCGTCATCGCAACCATTTTCATTATGTGTACATAGAGATACCGGCTTACCGAGTAATTGAGTAAAATTCTGCTGAAAATCGAACGCGGCGGCAGCTCGTTTATATTTATTGAAAACGGCTTTCTGTTTTGACGCCTGCAAAGTTTAATTTACATCAGCGTTGCTCATATCCATTTTTCATGATGTATTCGCCTGTGGTCACGATGCTATATGATATTTATGGTTAATACTTCTTGATAGTTTTTACTCTAAAATTATTTTGAATTTATCGAGTTTATCACATAAAATTCAAAGGCTTTAAAATCAACGAATAGATTTTAATTCAAAATAAAATTAAAGATATTTAAAAAAATTAACTGGAATTATATTTTTAATTTGATTACTATATTTTTACGCTGATAAATTAATCTGTGTGAGAGTAACAATGAAGCAAAATAATATTTGATCCAATAATTCTAAATTATTTTTCTCTGCCAGCATAAAAAGTTTCCTTTATTTTAAATTGTAATAAGATTGTAATTAAATGAAATATTTGTCATTAAATTTGACAAACAAATGAAGCTTTTATTTCATCTTTGTTATTTTCAACAGCTTTATATTTGTATAACGTAGACTTCCCTATTTTCAACTTGATCGTTTCTCAAAAGAAAACCCTTCCCTTTTTTCTCGCCCTTTGCTCAACAAATAATTACACGCTTGAAAATAGAACAAGGATGTCGGTGTGTTGGCGGCGTTTCGTTCATTTCTTCTCTTGTTTTCTCACGGGACAGATAAATATTGGTTGTGTAAATCGGAAAATCTCTCTCTGCCGTTGCACTTGGAGGGCTCCATGGTAGAGAGAGACGGAATTTGCGGCTGTCGCGCTAGGCGTGAGTTATTATTGCGGGCGCAATCTCCATGGAGATTAACACATCATGTTATTACGAGGGATATATCGGGACGCTGCTGAGTAGCAGCAGATGTTGCCCTGCGCGCTCGGTTAACTCGCAGGCCCAATATCTATCTTTGAATACACATGGCCCACGAGACACTTTAACCAAAACGTCCGTCGCGGCGCGTTGACGTCGTCCTTCCCCATGCTGCGTGAGAGTTGTGCATGTATAGAATTATATTATGTACATACCCATGCACATGGACACTCGAATGAATGCACGTGTTTATCGATCGTACTCCGACGCAGTTCCTGGGAGGTTTAGGCCACAGGCGTACAAATTTTTAGTGGAATTTATCCCCTGGGATTTGAGGTTTTGAGTTTCTAGAGTAATAAAGGACCACTTCTGGGCAGTAAATCAAAAAGCCCAAACGATATATTCTGTGGCTAGAAAATTCTTGAATTTTTTAAAATCTTTAAAACATGAAATTTATTTGATTTTTTTTCTGAATCTGCTAAACAGCCGTTTCCAACACTACAAATCCAAAATTGAATGCATGGATCCTATTAAAAATTCATAATTATACGTTTCTTTTGCTACAACTACTGTTGAAAAATATTGTCTGGATTTTGTTTCAATCTTTTTATTTGAGCTCTTTTTCTGATCAGAGTGAGTTGCGATTAATTGGCATAAACAAGCTGTCTAATGATCACCTCCGATTTTGGTGGCAAATCATGGGCTTGAAATCAATCAAATTTTTTAAATTTTTTTCATTTAATACTAGCAAATTTACCTTTTTCAAAATTAAAGTAAAGAAACGTTTAAATAAGGTTTAAAAATAGGCATTTTCTTCACAAATCGAACCTGCACGCGGGATGCCTGTTTCGGTCCGTTCGAATTGCAAAGATTTTGTATTT